TGATTTTTTTTCTATATACTTTCTTTCCACTCTGATGACATTGTGCTAAATTATATTTCTGTCTAAAATATACATTTCTGGTGAGAGGAAGGTGTTAAAAAGATGTTTAAATCAAAAAATAATATAACTACTTAAATATTTCTGACATAAAAATATCAATTTCCAATAATGTGTCCCAATTTCTTTATATTTTGATGTAACTTTATGTTTTATATTATTTGTTCAGGTTTCTTATCGGTCTCAAATCTGCAGGAAATGGACCTAGAACATCTGAATAATTGACTATTATGTGGACAACTTGCCTAGAAACTTACTGTAAATCAGCAAAGTCAATCAGGTGCTTCACCTCCTTAATGTGTAAAAACCTAAAATGCACTGTGGCCCCTGCATGTTAGCAACTTCTGGTTTAGCTTTAACACTGACGTTAATACACTGAGCTTAAATGTGGAAGTAGATAAAAACAATTATACTCCAAGAAGTTTATAATTTTAAATATATAACAAATGTTTGTGATAAATAAACACCATATATTTTATGATATTCCTCTATAAAGCACAGATCTTAACCTTGAAATTAGAATTCATACACAGCAATAGGTTACTAACCAGCCCCATTAGGTCCACAAACAAAATTAGGATCTGTTTTTCTTTTTCTAGGCTTTCGTATTTGATCCTAGTACTTTCTACATCTTTATGTGAAGAAAATATGCCTGCCAAATACACACTCAGAATTCCTCTGCTGACATGCTTGTAAAAATAAAACTTTTGAGAAGACATAAAGAGAAGAAACAGCATGTTCTCAATGCTGTCAAGATCCCAATATTTTCATTAATCTTGGGCCCCGGCTGCCTTGCACTACAGTGTCTCTGATCCTGGATGCATAGACCAGTTCTCAATTCTAGGGCTGATAAAGAACTATTTGCATGATTTTGTTTATGGCTTTTTAGTGTCACTTCCAATGGAAAATCACCACGAAAATAACATATTCACTTTTGAACCTTGAAAGAGGTTCAAAAGGTTGTTGGTTCAAAGAATGTTAAAGTTTAACATGTAAGAATCATTTTAATTTATTTCTTAAATTCATTTTTTCACTACCTAGTTCTAGAAAGAATTTGAGGAAACAAAACAGAAAAATATGGACATACAATAGAATTTGATAAAATAAAATATCAAATCAAGTAAAAGTAGATAATTATAACAAAATCCCAGACTTAAACTCTTAATGGTAGTGAAATTCAGATAAGAAATATTTCCACTGATGCAATTTTATTAGGAGAACTGGATTTTTCTTGCTATCATAGTCTAAGGTTGATACATCACATGGAAATATAGAAGGCTTACTAAGCAATATGACAATGCAATAAAGTGGAAATGTCTCCAGCAATTGTTTTACCAAAGTTACACAATGATCCTTCATTTGAATGTGCTATATCATGTAATATTGAAACACAAATTGATTAGTCTATTTATATAAAGGAATAAATTATTATAACTACCAGAGATATAGCTGTCAGGTAATGCAGAAAAAGAGGTTTTTAAAAGCCTACAGGAATGTGTCTATGTGAGGTCTCATATGTCAAGTGTTGATTCACATTTTGGATTTTAAAAATCTAGATACAGTAATTTTATTCTGTAAGTGCTAAGGGACAGAACTCAGTGTTGCTGATTAAAAACACATTAGTGTACTTTTGTGATGCTGCATTGTTTCTAGAAAATTATGAAACCCAAAGAGTTTCTCTGGAGTAAAAGGAGCATCATTTTTTTTCTCCATACAAGTCTGAGCTTTAAGAGTCTTTGCAGGAAGAATGACAGTTTGTTCAAGAGGCACCCTGTATACATGCTCAAGGCTGAATAGTCTCATTGATCACAAAGTTTCACATGATATTTGTAAAAGAGATAATATAAACCCCTGCTTCGCCATAAAAGAATCTTGCCTTCATTCCTTGCCTCACAGACATGGTGTGAAAATATATACCTAAAATTTCCCAGGAAAACTTTTAAAAAATAGATTTGATAACTTCATTATGGTAAATGATTTGGGAATCTTCACTGTAAGGAGGCCCAGACATTCTTAGAGACAAAATCTAAATAATATTTAAGATTCCTACCAGGCCTCCCTACAGTATCTTATCCGGTAATGTAATTTCAATATCTACTATCTACTCTAAAACCTCTCAGCTAACTTTTTCTACTTGATGGATGATTTTTTTTTTTACTTTCTGAAATTTAGGAACATTGTGCTGATAAAAAAAAAACAATTGATTTTAATTCAGTCTTGAAAATTAAATTAAAAAAACAAACTTACTCTCATCTCTCTCAGGTCATATAGGTATCAGAGGTAATCATTACTGAGATCTGTCTCTTATATTTCAATCTCCCGGGATATTATTACCTCCTTTATGGCACCCATTGTCTTCCTGGGCCACAGTTATTTAGGTATATTCTAGATGATATGTGATGTGAGGGCAGATAATGTTTTTTAGGTTTTTTTCATGTCTGAACTCCCAAAAACCATGGACTACAAGTGGACACCTATAGGCAGTCAGAGAAAGCCAGGTGAATTGAATTATAGCTATAGGTTCACTTATAGAAGAAACTAGCCTGTACATAGAAATTTGACATGGCATCAATAAGTCAGATATTTCAAAAAAATTCTGGACTAATCTGAAATTATAAATTAATTATTTATAAACATTCAAGATATTACTTGCACAAAATTTCTGTTAAACTTGTAACTGACCCCACTAGCACATATGAAACAGACCGGCAAAGATTTGCCCATTGAATGGATTGATAACCAGTGTGCAAGGCCCTTAGGAAGTGGAGTGCAGAACAGTACATACTGAGAAAAAAAGGTCTGGTACCTGAGTCTCTGAAAAGTCAGGCCTGAGCGAGATGTCTCAATGTGAGACTCTGGACAGCCATGGGATAGCCAAAGAAAGCAAGGTACCTGGGAAAGGAGGCTGACAAAGAAAGTGCAGTGGGGCAGGAGATAAGAGTGAAAGCTCCAAAAGCAAGCTTAACCCATTTACCAGCTTCCCTAAAAGGACAATTAGCTATCAGGAAGTCCATGCTGTATTTTAGTGAAAATTAACTTTCTTTACAGAATTCAGCCTAGCTATTGGAATCCTTTAAGATATTCTCCACCTCCCTTTTCCCTCATCACAATTTACCCTGGTAAAAAGCAATGCCAGCTGTCAACCTGCCAGATGACCAAGAAATCTTGCTCCCACATCTAGCCTTAACCTGTTTTCAGTCAGGGTCCCTTTTCTACACTTTCCTGAAACAACTGCCTGGGTCAAAGTATGGCCTCTTTGGTAGCTTCATTTTATCCTCTAGATCACCAGGATCAAGAAGCGATCAATTGAATTTACCAAATTTTATTCTAATTATATAGGCATCTCCACTTCCACAAAAGCTTTGTTTTATGCATAAAGAAAGAAGTGTAGTTAAGTTGCAATCCACCTGCAAGTAACACCTAGGCATAGAATTCATCAGGAAGAGACGAGAATTTGGCATAAATCAGTGGTGAAGATCACTTGCCTCAATCCCAACAGCTCCCCGATGAGGTGATACAACAAAGATCATGACTAGGTGGATCTGATTTTATCCAGCACAGCCTTGCCTTTCCAAACTGCTGGGGTGCCCTCATTGAGGGGTGCCTCACTAGGATCAAGTTTAGAATCACCTTTGCAACTGTCATGACTTTTTGAAGTCACACCTGCACTTGGGAAAGCACAGAGATTAATTACATTTGATTGGGAGAACTTTTCAGGAAATATGGTAGGGATTTGGGGGGTCACTTTGGATTTTTGGTTATTTATTGACATTTCCATGTAAGGCTAACAAATGCATATTTAAGTAGATGTGGATTGTAAGATTAATTCCATATGGGTAGATTTAAATATAATTTATGTTCAGAATAAGATTTTAAAACAGACTCAAGTTGGCATTTTCTTTTAAGCATTACAAAAGTATAATGTTGCTATTAATAATATTGTATCAATGTTTAATCAATACATAAAAATGGCCATATTTTATGTAATTATATTCCCTGAGATCCACTCTTATTCATTATGTAACAACCATAGAATGCCAGGAATTCCATCCATAAATTTGTATTATCTTGTAATTAATTCTAGATCAACCACCAGTGGCTGCAACTTGACTTTAACATTTAAGGTTACTAACATGGAGTATCTCTAATGTTTTTAGAAAATTATTTTGGGGAAAGCATAAAATTGACATATAATTAACATTCTAAAAAATCTGTTTTAAGAGGCAGAAATTGTTTGTGTACATTTTCTAGCTACTTTAAAATTATAAATTCCCAATTCTAAATTCTAAAGTATATAACAGGTGACTAAAGAATCAAGCATTAAAGACACAATGAAGAAACTGCTGCTGCCTTAGAGAAAGAGTATCGTTCTCTCCAAAATAAAACCTTAGCTCAATCCATTGTACTGTATCTACATTTTTCCTGGTCATAGATTCCACCACAATGTGAAATTTTTCCTGTTGCCCTACTGTTTCTTTAACTACTGTCTGATTATCCTGACTGAGCTATAAAATATGCACTCCATGATCTTAAGCTATCAAATTCAAATTTATCTCCAGATACATTACTCCAAAAAGGTGTAGCATTAAAGTAGGATCAGCTGAAAGAACTAAGCACAATATATCCTATTTAGAGGACTGTGTAACAGTCCTCAGAAACAGCAAGGGATTGCATAATGTTGCAAAAGTTTTTCCAGTGCTATGTCATTCATGTGCTTGAATAGTTAAGATTTTTCAAAAATGTATTTTCAGGCGTTGATAAGAGCTTGTGTACAGAGTTTCAGAAAATAGAAAATAAAAGGACTCCTTCAGTATACATGAAGTTAACTTTAGGCACACTCTGTTTTTCTGCTGTAGCTTAGTGCCAGAATGCCTAAGTTAAGGATGAAGGAGAGAAGTTATTGTTCCTGACAACCCCACAGCCACCTGGCATGTATTACTTACCTAAAGATGGGTTTTTGGAGATGTTTCCTCCTGATTGTGACATGGTCATCCATTTAAAGGTGAAAATTTAACTTCTTCCTGGAAACCACTCTAGAAAATCCAGGGAGGGAATGTGGAAGCTTTTTCTGATCTATTGTGCTGCAAGGAGCCCAGAAAGAAAAAGTAGTTTCCTCTTTCTTTTTTTGGGTGCTGGGAGAAAACTTCCCTGCTCTCTGCCAGCTGAGCAGTGTGTCCATAGAGGCCACATAAGACAGGCACGTTGGGGCACTCCCCCACAGAGCAGGGTGTGCAAAAACCACCAAGAGTCACGTTGATCCAGGCAAGAGAAGTGCGCGGGACACTCCGGAACAGAACAAAACAAACAGAAAACTTCCTGCCCCAAGTGTCACCCAGGTAGGAACTCCCTAAGTTATTGCAGCCATGGGAGCTCTCCTTCCACATGCTGGTCAAGCTCTGAAAGGATAAGTCCCTCCCTGTCTTTAAAACAGCCTGTTCTGAGGCTCAACTTTTCTTCTTCAAAATAAAAGTTGTACAGCTGGTTCAGCAGTCCCATGTGAGTACCCTCTGAAAGTTTGTTCTGTTAAACAAGAACTGTATACAAATTAATTAAGAAAGATGGGCTCAGGTTGCATGGCTGGCTCTGCTTCAGGAGATTATAATTATTTTACAAACTTGCTTTTATTCATGCTGGATGAAGTGTAGGACGACTCATCATTTTTAGCACTTGTAACCTAATAACCTACACTTGGCTGAAGCTGATGATATCATTTCAACAGATAGAAGCCTATGTGAAACTGGCCAGAGCTCCAAAACTTAGAAAAACAAAAATTGCTGAATTCTATCAGTGACATTGTAACCCAGATGTCTGTACCCAAATGTAGTTTTCCAACTAAGAAGGGACACCAAAAAAAAAAAGAGATGGAAACACACACATCCACATCCACACATATATATTCTTTTTCGTAATAAGCCCCTAGAATTGTCTGGGATCCTAATGTTTGTACACTATATGAAGAAATTTGAATTTATAAAAGTAAAAGGAAAGAACAGCAAGTATAAAAGAGAATTTATGAATAGCTGAAAATGAATAACCTTAAAAATTGTTTTACTTAGAAGACTTAGACTTAAACTGCAGGAACAGTTATTCTTGTTACAGATAAATTGAATCCCTATATTTTAATATAACTTATTTAGGAGACTTTCCTGTATCTGGATCACTAACAAAGTCTCTATTCAATCAATAATGTTATAATATTCCAGGCCAGAGGTTTGGTATATTATAAGATAAACCATATCAAAGCATGATTGAAACATTTTAAAAATATACATGGAATAAAAGATAAAAAAATGAGTAACACATGACTGTAGTTGAATAATCCATAAAAATAAGGATCAAATGTCATAAATTTGGATATGATCTAACGTCATTAGCACTCTCCAAATACTTCCATGGAGCAAGATCACCTTTTTATTTTCCTCCCAGAAGAGAGATCAGGAAGGAGAGGGGGGTTATAAAGAAATCACTGATTTATCGAGCATTTCTAATCCACACTAGGAAATGTAATCAGCCTGAAAGAGCATTGAACTAAAAATAAAATAAATGCATTTTACTCCTACTTCCATCATGAATATGCTGGGCCATTGTGGACAAATTTCTTGACCTATCTGAAGCCCAGTTTTCTTGTTTGTAAAATGAAGTTATAATACTAAATGAATTCTATGTTCCTTTTCAGCATGATGGTATCATTATGTTATTTCTAAATATGATTAGTCAGCTTCTTGCAAAGAAACTATCATAGAAGTTATGATGCCTGATACTTTGAAAACTACACATACACTTATAAATAAATTAAAATGCTATAAATAAAAAGAAGATAATTATATATGACATATTATTTACTTATGTAGATATTCTATATTTATATGTTAATATCTAAATCAATGTTCCCTTCATTATCAATAAGCATCGAATCAAAAAATCACATGTGTGTAATATAATAGCTAAATATGGAAACCAACTCCAAACTGAGGTGCATACTTTGGAGTAGGCACTTTGTTAGAACCATATGCTTTGGCTTTCTTTGTATATAGGAAGGTACATAAGTAATAGCACATTATACAGGTCTTCTGGAAGGATTTTTGCATTTGTGGGTGGCATTCAATTTCTGTAGTCATAGTTTATCTATATTACTATGAATTTAGCATAAATATTCTTCCTGAGGGACAATCCAAGAGAATAATAGGCCACCAACTTTTAAAAATTAACTTTTGTTTTGTCTACTTTTGAATTAGAAATGTGGAAGGATTTCTACATGAACACAATGGAAGGAACTCCACACAAGTACTAACAAACGTCTAGCCAAACTATAGTTTAAACGACAAGCAAGTATGCAATCAAATTTGAGGCTCAAAGGCTTGATTATCAACTGAAGAAACTGAGAGTTGTTAAATTAATTATAGGAAAGACATAACCTCTTTCCTTCTATTAAGTTTATATTCTTTTTTCTCTTAAGTGATTAAGGCAGAAAGCTTAGGTTTACTTTTACGTTAAGCACTATATTTAAGACCAATCTTAGAACCTAAAGAGCAATAAGAAGATACCAGTAAATTAAATATTCACTTGGCACAGAGAAAAATAATATTTCTTAAATGTTTTCATTAACTTTTTCTCAAAGAGAATTTAAATTAACTTTGGGAAGAAAAGTTGACTTTATTGACTTATTCAACTTTAATGTAGTATTCCATAAAACAAAAAGACTTCATTATTATTGTTTAAATTACAAAAATATATTCCTTACATTAACACAACTGTATTATGCAAAATAACAAAATTTATGACATAAAAATCAAGCCAATTCTCTTGTATGATTTATTATAGTTTTTCTTTTTCCTGAGACAGGAGTCAGAAATGGTGTTTATATTTTTCCTGATAATGGAAAAACAAAGTCGGGCTGACTTTGTCTAGCACTCTCTCTCTCTCTCTCTCTCTCTCTCCACACACTCACAATATGCCTACTCACACATACATGCACAACACATACATACACACATACCCACCAACACTCAATGTTGTTAGGGACTGTAATAATTGGTGCCCAGTAAATACTTGTGCAGTTAACTTGTTAAAATGCAAAGCTGAAACACACCAATATAACTTAACTAACTTATTTTGTGTAGTGAAATGCATGATTGACTTGCGTGACTTTTCCCACGAAAAGGCCCCTAACAGTGTCACGGTATTTTTTGTTAAGCATCATGAAAAACAGGTAAGCTTTTCTTTTTCTTGTTTCCTTCATTGCTATAGACTGTTTTCTGGCTCTATTTGTAATATACAAGTGCCTAACCATGCGATGGCAGAAAGATCACTTGACATTATGCCAGCCCAAGCACTGGAAAATGACTATATCTGCAGGTTATCACTTTAACCACATAAGTCTAGTCAAATATCAGTCTTAAACCAAGTGAGTGTTCTTTTCTTAAAACACAATTTAATTAAACACAATGTCATGAGTTATATTTAAGTGAATTTTAAATTAAGTGGAGGAGGGAAAAGGAAATGCAAAAAAGAAAGGATTAGATGGCATTTTAGGTTTTATCACTATATATATAACATGTTATCTTAATTTCTTTTTAAAAACCTGCTTCTTTCACTCTTGCCTCTCCACCTTCCACCAAGGTTAAAGCTAACTCTGTGTATAATTACAGTACCTCACACGCCTAAACTCTCAGTCTGGTTGTTCCTAATATTTTTTTTTTTATTATCACACATGAAAGATGAAATGTACATGTAATACTCCCTCAGAAAAGTACCTAGTTCTTAATAAAACCAAGAAAATAAAACATATGCATTATATGCAAGCACTACTATAATTTTCATTTGTCATAGCTGTTAAGTATTACATCAGTAAAGTGGAACACCACTTGGCCAACTATTCCATGAGATAAATGGAAGAGTATGAATTATTCTCAATGAACTAACCATAACCCTTTCCCTTTACCTCTAGGGGAAAAACTACTGCATATAAGTGAATGAGAGGGGCAACATTTTCGACATAACTTAAACTTGATTTAGCCATTCAAGATAAGTCATTCCTGACTTTCAACATTTTATTCATTTTTTATAACAAGTTTCTGCCTACAAGTTTCACAACTGATTAAGAAGCTAGCTGATAGATGACAGACCTAGAATTTGAACTCAGTTGTCTCATGCCTGAGCCCAAGCTTTTACTCCCTACCAAGTAGGTTGTCCCCTTGCTGGGCACTCTTTGTGAGCTATATTTAACATTTACGGAAAAAGAGCTAACCACTTGAGGGAGAGGCTATTTTCTCCTAACCACCTACCCTACTTAAATATCATAACATTTCCAATTCTGTTCCCAATACTTGTAAGAGCCAACCCTAGAAACTTCCAAAGGGCCTTCTGATAGCAAGGTGAACTGAACAGGTGAATCAATGAGAATTTCCTAAGATCTGAATGGAAGTTTCATTCTATTATAAAACGCCCTGGACTAACATCAAAGAACATACATTTAAACCCCAGCTATAGCAGCATTTTTTTCTTCAACTCCCTGTATGCCAATTTCCTCACTAGTCAAACTAAGAGGTTGGGCCAGATGACCTCTAAGAACCTTTCCTGCTCTAAAATTCAATGACTCTCTGACTGACCCTACGATAAAATGTCAAGTTATTTAAATTTGGTGTCCAGCCAAAAATAAACTCTGTAGTAATTTTTAGCTTTTCTTAACCACAACATGGTCATGCATACCACCAGAATATTCTTCATCCTTATTGTTGTAGGATTAAAAATATAGCTTAATACTCAAATGTGAAAACAAATTATAGCACCTTTATTTTTTTCTAATTGAGCTATTGTTTTGTTTTGATTTTTTCCTTATAGCTTCAACTTGGAACTACCTTCACTAGAATGTAAACTCCAGGAAAGCAGTGATTGGTGTCTGTTATATTCCCTGTGTATGGTATGTAAGAGACACTCAGTGATTATTTACTAAATGAATGAATACATGAACAAAATGATCATTGCTGCTACCTTATTATCTTCTTCTATAAACATTCTTTTTCTAAAAACTAAGTCATATCTGCCAAATATGGAATCTTTCATATTTTCTCCAACCCACTGTTTTTCTTCAAGGAGACATCTGCGTTTGCAAGGAGATGGGTTTCTATGACATTGAGGTGACAGGAAAGAGGTAGCCTAAGTTGCAAACTTGCAGATCCTCTGGTCTCTACAATAATGTTCTTTGTCTGATCATGTGGTTCCCTGAAGACACCTACAGCTAAAATCCATAGCTGCTCTGATCAATTGACACAGTCTGAGAACTATGGTCATTTGCTGCTGATTGAGTCAATCTCAGCCTTCACTGTTGCTTCTAGATCCTCTGAGTCTCACCCACATCCTCCATCTGTATCTCCATTGAGGCTGTTAACCCTTAGACATCTGCATAGGATCACCTGGCCTCTTGCCATGGGCATGCCAGGCTAGTGGCAGATACACTGCCCTATTTCAGCTGACTTCTGAAATCCCCTCCATCCCACACAAGACTTCTGTACCCTCCATCCTACATAGGCAGGCACTGAGGAAGGCTTGGGATTGGCCACACTATCACACCATTTTTACACTGTCACCACTAACTCACTAGACCACAGCAAAATCTTCTCTGCTTTAGGCTTTCACTTTCAAACAAACATGCTCTCCATCCTGAAATTTCAACGTATAGGTAAGGACTCAAAATACTTTGACTGCTTGCACTAAATGCCTTCTATTTGGGTCCCCTTTGTGTACTTCATGAGGGAAAAAGAGATATGTTTTCCCCATCCTACATGGCAGAAAATCTCAACTTATCTCCTTAGGGCCCCACATATATGGTTTATAGTAAACTCAACCTTCAAGTCTTTGGGCCTTGATCACAATCTTGATCATGCAGAGCTTCAGGAATTTGGGTAATACTTTTGGGTGTGAGAAAGCTCTTACAGGGGGCTCAAAAGTTCCATTTAGGTGTTCAAAGCTGGGTTTCTGAATTGTCTTTGCTTTCATCTGTGATAACATTAATACCATTCCCCACCCCTGCATGAGGCAGATGGGTATCTCTGGATAACAGGGAGAAGATCATACTCATCAAAATGGAAGGGAGAAAAGCACATTATCCTTATTACATTATGAAGCTTTTTTACTCATACCCTTCAGTATGCATAATCAGTAATACACCACACCACAATATTAACATTCTGCCTAATCTGGCCCTCACCTACCTGTACCCTCAATCTCAAAACCATGACTTTTTGGTTCATCCCCAGCTAGCTGCATTTTGCTCCTCAAGCACTATGTATTCTTTCCCACCTCTCTGCATATACTGTTCCCTCTTTCTGAAATGCTCTTCTTCCTTCTCATTGCTCAGATTTCACTGCAGTGTCACCTCTTCAGAGAGGTGACTCACCTGACAACCCCACCTGAATTTCATATACCTGTACCTACAGCACTGTTTTTGCTCCCTTGCAAATATCATATCATAATCTGTGTATATTATCATCTGTGTAATTTTTTGTTCACAAATTTATCTGTTCAACACATGAATAAACCTGTTCTGAAGGGAGCAGTAACTGAGGAAAAGATCTGAATATCTAATTCTTTCTAACTATTGTAAAAATAAATCTAGTCAAATTATACCAAAAATATATTTTCCTCATATATGTGACTGTAAGAACCTAAAATAGATTCTTACTGATCTTGCAATGCTTCAAAACATTGTCTAATACCTATATATGTGTTTCATCTTAAAATATTTTTCAAATCAGGAGCTTTACATTCACAAGATCAAATACAATGGTATCTTAGTCCATTTTGTGTCACTATAAG